CATTTTTTGAGTCAACACCCTAAAAAACATGAAATAAACCATCATCACTTCATGCGGAGACCCAGTAGCGGTTTTAGATACGGGCGACACCGGCGGTTGCCCGGGACGGCATCACGGACATCGGCAAAAAAAAAAAAAAATTGCTCGTAGGCTACTCATGCTGCCCCGACATCAGCCAGCGCATAGTGGGAATGGCGCAGGCACTGATCGGTTTTCTATCGCCCATTTGCTGGGAGTAAGGGCGCCCTCCGTTTGCGAGGTGCGCCTACTGCTTGCGGCACAGGGAGGAGAGGGCGGGGCGGCGGGGGATTCTCTGGCTGCCTGGAGCAGCGTCTAATAACCAACTCGGAAAATAAAACAAAATAAAAAACAAACCAACGAACACGAAAACACCAGAGATCATGATACAGACTTATAATTTGCACCGATGTTTTTTCCAAATTCTATACGAGAGCCCTCGGTGCGCCTGCTTGCTGCTGAAGTCAAAGTAAACTTTATTGTCATCTCCGCTACATACAGTCCAGTATAGAGAGACAAGATGACGAGGCTCCAGTTACAGCAGTGCAAGTAAACAAACAATAAATATAAGAAGAGTGAGAAAATAAATATACACTTTAGGACCAGGGGTAAAGGGATCAATAACAATTTAAAATTTATAATTTACAGTTTGATGATTTAAAGTCTCACACAACCCGAGGGAGTGTTCGCCCAGGGTGCCAAACAGGCTAGGACCGCCAATGCAGCTTAATTTTTATTTTATTTTATTTTTTTCAGACCTGTGTAATGCAAAGAAAACTGAAAACACCAACAATCACATGGCTCCCTGTGAGCAAGCACTTTAGCGACAAAGGGAAGGAAAAACTTCCCTTCAACAGGAAGAAACCTACAACAGGGAGAGGTAGCAATTAGAGCAGGAAGACAGGACAAAGACACACTGTGTAAGAAGTTAAAAGCTATCTTGTAACCAATTTATTATACATATATATTAGGGGTGCAACAATACTCGTATCGATATTGAACCGTTCGATACAGTGCTTTCGGTTCTGTACGCATATGTATCGAACAATACAAATTTTTAATTTATTTTATCAACTTTCCTTCTGACGATGCTGTCTGTGTTGAGCGCTCAGTGGATCTGCATTCGACTACACCGCCTAGGCTGCACTGTCGAGCGCAGATCCACTGAGCGCAGCGCAAGCTAGCAAGACAGAGGCCCTTTCTCAATTCTCAAGTACGCAAGTACATACTCGCCGAGAACGCACGGGAGTACAGACTCGAGATTTGTACAATTGGAACACCAGCGTACTTGATGATGACACAGGTCCGGAGTTTTTACTGCTGTCCCCTCTTAATTTAACTGTGAGTAATATGTTATGAAGCTTAATTTTAATCACAGCCAAACCAGTTTACTCAGGAACAAATAAAACACTGAAATAAACCAAACATTAACATTTAGAAGTGATCTAAGTGACTTATATATCATGTTTAACCTCAGTAGTGAAATCTCTATTAATAAAAATGTATTTTTTCGATCCAAAAAAATGTTCATGCCTTTTTAATTTGTCACACACACACACACACACACACGTGTGTGTGTGTGTGTGTGTGTGTAAAAGTGAGTTGAAATCTTGGTTTGCACCAATAACTGAAGAGTTAGCAGATGTTGAATCAACAAACAAGAAATCAAAAACAGAATTGTGGTAAAAACTGGCAGAGTTCCTGTGTTTCAGAATATAAGACCTTATATAAAATATAAGACCTTATATAAGGTCTTAAATTTTAGAGGTTGCAGTGAAGGTGAAGGTGGCAGTGCTGAGCAGACTGTGACCATGAAGCTAAAATGTTGCAGGAGAAACATATTGGACAGTGAGGATACTTTTGTAATCATGCTTGGACAGAGTTAAGCATCTTGGGTTATGATATTTGATAACAAAAAAAAACAAAAAAACTTCTAGTCTGAGCAGGAAATGTAATGAAAATCAGGAACAAACTGTCCACCTGTGGCACCATGAACTAATTTTTTTCATCAAGAGACAAATAAAGGAAATTTGTTCATCCCCTCCCAGATATGTGCTTCCAACAGACTGACAAGGCTGGGCACACAAAACAAAAGAAGAGATTTTAACATCTTCAGCTCACCCTCCTGCCTTTTTAATCAGTGCCACCGTCCCTGAACCATCCATCACAGCAGGTCTCACTACGAGCTTATCAACTCTCCCTTTCACACATCACCCACTCATCTCTGTCCACTCCACCTTCCTTGTGCACTGTCTGTTGCTTTGGACGGCTGACCCTGGGTAATTAAACACTACCTTCACCATCAGATTCTGCTCCTTGCATCTTCACCTTTATAACTCACCTGATTAAACTGTATTGAGGCTTAGAGTTTGCATTATTAGGGGTGGTCCTCAGACAGGTGCTGTAGTTTCTAGCTACCTGCTAGGCTTCACCTCAGCTAATTTAAGTCCCTTTACTGGACCTGTGGACCGTGTTTGAGCGGTTGGAGCTTTTTATTAGATAGTGTTATAAAATCTGCTGTGGAGTCAAATGTACTAACAGATATTAAAAGTCTGAGGTGGAGTTCTGATGAGTGAAATTCTACAATTCAGCATTTAGCAGGTATCTGTGTCTGTACAGTAGATGGGTGATGTCATAGTGGCTACAGCTGGTCTTTCTTCAGTCAGATAAAGTTAAGAAAAAAGAAAAAGGATTACACTTCAGACAACAGTCAGATTAATTTCTCCAAAATATACTAATACTAGAGGTGGTAGTCCAATGTGGAACAGCCATGGCAGGGAAACCAAATATGACAGTCTAAAATAGTACAACACTGCTCTCCCCTTTAAATATTAGGCACCCAAACAAGAACACTCAGGAGTTCAACAAAAAGTGTGAAAAAAGTGCTTCGTTTTTTTTTTTAAATAAAAGGAGTAGAGCTTTTTTTGTTCTATTTTCATAAAAGCTGCCAAAACTGGTAGAATTGCATTGCAATAATTTTTGCGATTGTTTTCAAATGTAGAATTTCAGATTTTTTCAAACACATTATTTTACATGAATGAAGGCCTAATACATTTCAACATGTATTTTATTATAAATTACATTTTTATTTTACTTGAAGCAATTTTTATTAGTATTTATTTAAATTTATACCATATTTTGAATTTAAGGCAGAAATTAAATGTATTTAATGTGTTTAATGGAGTTATAATTGATAAGCAATTTTAAATTGATTTTATTTATCTTGCTTTGAAAAAATATATAATAAACTAAGTAATTTTTATTTTATTCCATATTTCAGGAATTATTTTTCATTTTAATTTATGTTAATTTTACATACAAAACATGCATTTTCTTTTAAATGTCATTTTGTAAAATCTTTTTACATTTATCTGTTTGTAATAGTATTTTTAATTGTACATGTATTTGATATTGTTTTAAATACAATGAATATATTTGACTTATTCTTAAGTCTTTTAATTGTTACTATAATTAATTTTTATAATTATTGTATTTCTTTTTATCTGAGGTGTGTCCTCCAGACGCCATGTTCTGTCGTGACGTCACCAAACGGGAAGTGAGCTCGTTGTTCTCCTTGGTGGCTGCCTGGCTGCGAAGGCTCGCGGACCAAAACAACTCCTTCTCTGCTGCGCTTCCTCCTCTTCCTCAGCACGGACCATGGACGGGTGAGAACGGGAAACCGTCCCGAACCTTCTCGGAACCGTTCCCACCGTACTTTTACCTTCCTTCCTCCCTTCGTTTCCTTGGTGACTGAACCGCACCTGCGCGAGCCTCAGGCGCGCCCCTCCCTGCCTGTTTGTTGTTGGTGTTTACTGAAATGCTCTCCCAGAGCCCCGTTTTCCTGCTCCTCGCGCGCTGTTTAGTTGCTCGTGCGCTGTGCTGTGCTGTGCAACTCTGCTCTGTTCTGTTCGGCTCGGCGTGAAAGTGTCACGGGGCAACAGTAGCGACAGCCGCGGTGTTTTATTACCTGAAATCTCGCGATATGTGCGTGTTCACGCAAAGAGCCTCTCTGTCTGTGTACAAACAGAGAGGAATTACTTTCATTTTCTGTTAATTAGTTCGACTTTGGGGTTCTAAAATGTCACCAGCAGAGCCCGAAGCTTCTTTAACTGATCCCGGGAGAAGGTTAATGGTTAAAATGTTAGCGGTAAAGTTAAACAGAAGCTCAGAGCTGAAAATGAAGAAGTCATCAATCATCTCCTGCAGTCTGTCTCAGGAAACAGGCTTTAAAGATCAATCACGTCTCAAAAAGAAATTGCAAAAGAAGACACAGGATTTTAAATATGGAGGTTCATGTGCTGCTGATTTGATAAATTCATTAATAAATTGATGAAATGTGATATAACTTTGACATTTCAATAAGTGATTATTGTGTTTGTTTCCAGGAGTCAGAGTTCAGCTCGTCTGTCAGCAGCTCTGAGAACATGAGCTCCTCTCACCTGTCCACAGGTGAGTCTATGAAAGTCTATGAAAGGGAAGCTCCTCCCACCTGAACCCTTTCCATCCTAATTTACCTGTCTGTTTCTGTCTATCTGCAGTGGATGGCACTGATAGACTGTGTGTTTCAGAGCGTGCTCAGTGCGTCCCATCTCGGGTCCTTCACCTGCGTCAGCTTCCCCCTGACGTCTCTGAACAGGAAGTGCTTTCTCTGGCGCTTCCCTTTGGTCGAGTTAGTCAGCTGATCACACTGAAGACAAAGAATCAGGTGAGCGCTAACGATGCCAGCAAGGTGCGCAGTACACAACTGTCTGAATTCCTCTTAACCTGTTCTTTATTATTATTAAGTCATTGCTGGTGAAAGTGTGCAGGTTTATGTGGTTTAGAACCCTGAGCAATTCAGTTTTACTGTACAGTACATGTGCTCTTGTTAATTGGAGGAAAAGTGAAATAAAAATACACAAAATAAAAAGAAATCCACTAAATTGTTGAGAGCGGCGTTCGGCTGCGACTGCTTGCGACGCCATCTTGCATCCAAATTTATTACTAACACATTTGGTAGCTGTGTGGGGGTTTGTGAGGTTGTACTGAGTGAGTAATCACCGTGTGTCATTATATAGCTCTTTAGTTAGCCACAAGAAGGCACTTTGTTATTCACTTCAGTTCAGTTTTATTTATACAGCACCAAATCACAACATGTCGTAAGGTAAAGACCCTACAATAGACCCTCACTATCCTGTCTCCCTTCCCTCACCCCCAACGCCCAACGCGAGTTGTACCCACCTATCTTTCCTTCGTCGGGACGAGTTTGGAAGGTATCTGTTTAGAAGATGGAAGGCTTTTGGAAATGGCACTGTTTCTCATAAATTCGACAAAATGTAACTGCTTAGGAGGAATAGAAGAGCAGACAGATGAACACGTGCCAGGCACTTTTGATGTCTAGGAAAATAAGACGCTTTGCAAACTGTGGAGCAGCTCTCACTGATAAAATCATCACAGATTTTAGACTATTTCATTCAACTGAATCAACTTCAGATTTAGTCCATTTAATACTATAATAACGTTGTTGTAACTTGTTTGCATTAAACAGGTTAAAAAAAAAGAAAAGAAGTAAAGCTGCATCTAGAGCTTGGCGATATGAGATTTTTTCATATCACGATATGTTTTTTTCATTTCAGGCGATAACGATATCTATCACGATATAAGCCAAATAACTATATTTGTAAGATTTAAATGTGCCGTTGCTCACAAGTAAAATGTGAAATAATCAGCAGCTTGTTTT